GAAAGTCTTGGGTCTCAAAATTGTGTCTTCGCCCCCCGGTTTGCAGCAACAACTGCTCCCGCCTGACATGTCCTCACAATTTGTTGAATAATCGCGTTGTCTCTGGGGATTTCCTTACAACTTACCTTCGAATCGAGGCACCCGCCTCATAGTTACTTCTTCACGATGTATTCAAGAATCCCGCTCTCGCTGGGGACTTCCCAGTTTACCGCTGAATTGCGGCTCCCGCCTGATACCTCTGCATAATTTATTGAAGAATCGCGCTCTCGGTCAGGCCCGCTCGCTGCCCCGCCCCGCACGTTCCTGCCCTTGATCTCGCTCGCTGCCCTTCGTGGCCCTGCGCGCTGCCATTCATGGCCCCGCGCGCTCTTGCCCCTCCTGGCCCCGCTCGCGTGGCCTCGCTGCTCTTCGTGGCCCCGTTGCAGCTTGCAGTGGGCCCCTCGCTGCCCTTCGTGGTCTCGCTCGTGCCTTTTTTGCTCCGTAGCTGCCCTTCGTGGCCCCAATCGCTGCCCCTCGTGGCCCCGCTCGCTGCCCTTCGTGGCCCCGCCCTCGTGGCCCCGCTCGCTGCCCTTCGGGGCCCCGCTCGCTGCCCCACGTGGCCCCGTTCACGACGCGAGGGGGTCAGGGCTCCCAGGCCCTCTCGCTGGTAATGTCGTTTTCCAAGCGTCCGGGGAAGACAAGCAAAGCGGCATGAACATGCACTTTGGGAGGTCTGCGCTGATTTTTTGGACTCGCGCTGGACCGCCCTGTCGGCGCCTCCGGCGCCGCTTCTGGCACGCTCCGCGCGCCAGTTGGCGGGGCCCAGCGCCGATCCAAAGAAAGCCCGCGCCGACCCCCGAAAGCCTGGATTCAGGCTGTGATGTTGAGCTGTTCGATCCGTGCCGGCCCCCCGGTTACGCGCAGGGGGGGGTGGAATTCGGGGAGGGGGGGAGGCTTCTTAGAAACATCCCTGCTTCTTCTACGGCGCGGGCCTTATCTATGAATGCAGGACCGGCGCCTCCTAAGAAGCAGCCTCCTTCTAAGAGGCCATCCCCTCTTCCCCTGCCCCCTCGTGCGCGCCGCCAGGGCCTTGAAGCAACTGCTCAGGGTAACAGAGCGTGCCCCCGGGAAGTGGCCGAGAGGTCCAGAGACCCGATGTTGAAACAGTGACGATGTCGGAGGTCTGGCCTGGCACGGCAGGTTCGCGCCGCGCTGTCGCGGCGGCCACTCCTCAGGAGGCGCAAAACGGCACAGCATAAACTTTTTTGCTGTCGGGGACGCCTGTCGCAGGGCGGCTGGAAAGCTTCTGCCCCTCCGGTGGCACGTCAGGGTACAAACTTTCCAGCCGCCCTGGGACAGGCGCCCCTGGTGACGGAATCGTGTTTTTTGTTACCGTTGTCGCCCGCTAAACCCCAGCGCGGGCGCTCAAGGCGGAGCGCCGCCGCCAGCATCGAGAGCGGTCCGCGCCAGCTCGGCGGGGGCGCGGCCGCCCAGGGGGCGGAGCGATCTCCGCGCGGTGCCAGAAGCCAGCGCCTGCGTTTCGGCGGCTCGAGGATGGGGCCCCGAGGGTTGAGTCCCCAGGGACAGGGGGGAGGAGGAGGAGGAGGAGGAGGAGGAGGAGGAGGAGGAGGAGGAGGAGGAGAGGAGGAGGAGGAGGAGCAAGAGCAGGAGCAGGAGCAGGAGCAGGCGCAGGCGCAGGCGCAGGCAGGAGCAGGAGCAGGCAGGAGGAGGAGAGGAGGAGGAGGAGGCGGTGGAGAGGAGGAGGAGAGGAGGAGGAAGGAGGGAGGAGGAGGAGGAGGAGGGGAGGAGGAGGAGGAGAGGGAGGAGGAGGAGGAGGAGGAGGAGGAGGGAGGAGGAGGGGGAGGGGAGAGGAGGAGGGAGGAGGGAGGGGGAGGGAGGGGGAGGGAGGGAGGGAGGGAGGCGGTGGAGGAGGAGGAGGAGGGAGGAGGAGGAGGAGGAGGAGGAGGAGGAGGAGGAGGAGGAGAGGAGCAAGAGCAGGAGCAGGGCAAGCCAGGCGCAGGCGCAGGCGCAGGAGCAGGAGCAGGAGCAGGAGGAGGAGAGGAGGAGGAGGCGGTGGGAGGAGGAGTGGGGAGGAGGAGGAGAGGAGAGGAGGAGGAGGAGGAGGAGGAGGAGGAGGGAGGAGGATGAGAGAGAGGAGGAGGAGAGGAGGAGGCGGTGAGAGGAGGAACGAGGAAGGAGGAGGAGGAGGAGGAGGAGGGAGGGAGGGAAAGGGGGGCTGGAGGAAGGGAGGAGGGAGGGAGGAGGAGGGGAGGGGAGGGGAGGAGGAGGAGGAGGAGGAGGAGGAGGGAGGAGAGGAGGAGGAGGAGGAGGAGGAGGAGGAGGAGGAGGAAGGAAGCAGGGGGTCCGGGGTTGCATTTGCACTGCTCAGGGCCCCTCGGCCTCGGGGCCCCGTCCTTCAGGGCCCCGCCTTTCAGCCGCCTGCCGCGCCCTCGCGGCGCGAGCCTGCCGCGTGCGGCACGGAATCTCTTGAGGAGGACCTCCCCTTGGACGCCGCGGCGGCGCTGGAGGCGCGCGTCGTGGGCGCGGTGCGTGCGGAGCTGGAGCGGTGGCGCCTGCGGGTCCTCGCCGAGGTGGGCTGCTCGAGGCAGGCGTGCGCTCCCGCGGACGACCGCTGCGCGGGCGGCGCGGCCGCGGCGTGCGAGGGGGCGCCCGCGGAGCCCTGCGCGTCGCCGCGGGGGCTCGAGGCGCGCCTGGCCCTGGCCCGGCGCGACATCGGCGCCCTCCGGCAGGACGTGTGCCAGCTGCGCGAGGCGTTGCGGAGCCAGGGTGCCCGCGTGGAGGAGCTCGCGGGGGGGCCGAGGTGCGCATCTCGAAGGGGGGGGAGCGGCATGAGTTGCGAGGAAGGAGGAGCGACACCACCACCAAGGGGGCCACCTCCAGCCCCACGATGCCTCCCCGAGCTGGGGATATGGGATGTCTCGAGCGAGAGGGGAGGCCACACCAACAGGGGACCCCCTCGCTGGCTCCTCCCGCTGGTGGTCCCTGGTGGTGGTGGTGTCGGCGGCTTCCCATGTTCCTAATCTGTCGAGTCGGAGATCGGCTGCATGATTGATTTACCCCAGAATTGCTTTCTTCGTCCAGGATTAATTTCCTCGTCGAGTCGTACGTCGGATGTCCGTAGCCCGACGAACATTCCAAGCATCTCTCCTGGACTCGACGAACAGGGAAATTCTGGCGTACACCGACTCTGCGGTCGACCCTCTACTCGAATGGGCATCAGCTCCTGGAGCTCCGCGCAGATCTCTTTCAGGAGAGGAAAAAACACACAGACACAATTAATCCTCGATTTCCCAGAAAATATGGGAAAATATGGGAAGTGGGGGGGAAGACAGAAACCCAGAAAATATAGGAAAATATGGGGAATATTTTTATTTGTGTGTATTTATTTGTGTGTCCTGGAGCCCCTTCACTCTTGGACCCCCCCTCTCTGGCTCTGGGCCCCCTCCCGGTCCAAGGGGGATCCGCGCGGACCTTCCAGGGTCCGCGCGCACCTTTTGGAGCGGCGCCGGGCCTCCCCGTGCCCTGGCGTCAAGTCGGGCCTGTCCCTCTACAGTCAGGGGGACGCAAGACCTGGGTACAGGGGACTCGGAAATCCCCGACGAGGTCGTCAAAAAAATGACGAGGCCGAGCCTGCATTTTGACGAGGCCTCCCGCTGCAGACATCCCACGAAACTCCTCGTCAAAATCCGAGGCGCGCTCGTCAAAAAAACGATGGTGAACCCGAGTCCTGGCAAACCCGGGTCTTACGCTCCCCCGATACAGGAGGAATACGTATTCAAAAATAGTCAAAGCAGAGTCTGGGAACTATTTTTTGGGACTCTGTTCGAGTACTCTCTCGAGTATGTTTGACAATTGCTTATCCTTTGCCCAAAACCCCCCTGTGGGGGGACACGCCCGACCCGACCTGACCTCAACTCGAAAGGTCCGCGCGGAGCTCAAGAAGTGTACGTCACTACCCACCAGACCACCCCAAGCCAACCTTGAGTCGGGCACGTCCCTCTGCAGGAGGGATGTTCAAAAATAGTCACGACATGGTCAGGGGCCGATTTTTTTGGGGGGGGCATTTGTCGGCTATGTTTTTTTGTCGTTTAACGTCCGCCTGTAGGAGGACGCGCCCGACCTACAGCCAACCCGAAGGCCCCAAGTTGCCAGGTCGGGGTGGTCTGGCAGGTCGTCCTCCTCATGCCGGGCTCTCTCGTCCTTCCAGCGTCCAGTGGCTCGCTGCCGCCGGAGGGCGGGCGCGACACCGGGGGCGAGCTGGCGAGCATCCGCGCGTCGCTGGAGCGGGTGCGGTCGGGCCTGCTGAGCGGGCGGAGGCCGGAGGGCGAGGCCCCACCGGGCCGGGCAGCCTCGCCGGCGGCGGCGCCAGCTCCCGCGAGGCGGGTGCTGCCAGAGGTGGCCCTGGCCCTCCTCCTCCTCCTCCTCCTCCTCCTCCTCCTCCTCCTCCTCCTCCTCCCCCTCCTCCCCCTCCTCCTCCGTTGGCGTGGGGCTCGCGTCTGCGCGGGTGCGGGTGCGGCCCGGCCCCCCGCCCGTCGCGCCACCCTGCGCGGATCGCCGCGCGGGTGGCGGTCGAACGGGGGCTCGAATCGGGGGCGCGCAGGTGGGTCCTGTTTCTGGCCCGGCCCGGCTCCCGGGCGGGCCGCAGGCAGACGGCTCTGCTGAGTGGGCCGGCAAGTGTTCTTACCCCCTGGGGCCACTCGGGGCGCGTGCAGCCCGCTTCTGAGTCAGACCAGGCCAGGCACAGCCCACCTTGACATCCGCTTTTGCCCCCCTGCGCGCTCAGCACCCCCCCCCTGGGATCGATCCCGGTGGAGCCCGTTGCGAAGGGCGCCCCGACGAGGCCGCCTGGGCCTCCCTGGAAGAGCCGAGGCCGCGTCGGGCGAAGGCCGCCTCTGGCAGCGCCGTTGCGATCGCCCCAGAGACGGACGCGGCCGCGCGGACCCGGGCCCCCGCGGCCGACGCGGGCGGCACCTGCAGCGAGCCTCTGTCCGCCTCCGTGTCGCCGGTCGTGTGCGAGCGGCAGGTCCTCAGCGCGTCGCAGCCGTGCCTCGCCAGCGGCGGCCGGCTCCTCTCCAGCCCCCGGCCGGTGGTGCGCGGGACGGCGCAGCGGGCGGTGCAGGTCCGGGTCGTGGGCCCGGCGGGGAGCCCCGGGGTGCGCTACCCGACCTTCGTGAGCCCCCGCGGCGCGAGCACGCCGACGGTCGTCGCGTCCACGCTGGTGCACCATCTTAGGGTGCAGCTCCTGGGAGGCTCAGTTCATCAGTACCGCTTGGCCGGCCCCTACCCCCATCTCGGTCCCCATCCCGATCCTCACCATCCCCAGACCCCGGTTATGAAAAAATCACGACGGGAGCCACTCGAAGCAGGAGGGCGAGTAGAAAGGCCGGATGCCTCCTGGATGCCTCTCGGAGTCCCTTCGAGTTTCTCTCGAGAGTTTCTTGGAGTCCTCTTGGGGCGTCTTGGGGGTCTCTTGGCAGCAGTCCGGGGGGCCTCTTGGGCGTCTTCAGTGCATCTGGGGGGCCTTTTGGGAGCTTCTTGGGGGCACCCTGGGGGGCATCGGGGGGGCCTCTTGGGCCTCCTGGGCACCTCTTGGGGCCGTCGTGGTGCACTCTTGGGAGCCTTGGGGGCCATCTTGGGGCCATCTTTGGAGGGATCGATCAAAGAGGAGGGCTCCTTATTGACCCCCGCCCAGGAGGCCATCACGTGGTCAAATCCTTGGTCAAATCAATGATTGTGGCTCTCTTGCCGAGGCCTCTTGTGGCGTCTTGGGTGCCTCTGGGGGGCCTCTTGAGTTGTTTTGGGGGTCTCTTGGGGGCCTCTTGGGGGCCTCTTAGACGCCTCTTGGGGACATTTTGGGGCCTCTTGGGCACCTCTGGGGGCCCTCTTGGGGCACCCTTGGGAGCCTTGGTGGCAATCTTCGGGACATCTAGGAGGAAAACGATCAAAGGATGGGGGGCTTTCGAATACCCCCTCCCGGGAGGCCACACTGTGGCCAAATTCTTAGAACAAGCAGTGATGTCGGCCTTCTCGCCGAGGCCTTTTGGGGCGTCTTGGTTTCCTCTGGGGGGCCTCTTGGGGCGTCTTGGGGGTGTCTTGGGAGCCTCTTGGGGGCATCTTGAGGGCCTCTTGGGGGTGGAGCCTCCTGGGCACGTCTTGGGGGCGGGAGCTCCTCAATTAGGGCCCCCCTCCAAGGAGGCCAACCTGTGGCCAATGCAAAACCATAGTACATTCAATGATGTTGGCTTCCTCGCCGAGGCCATGTTGGAAGCTCCAACCCCTCGCGAAAGGCGCCGTCCAGACCCACGGGGACGGGGTATGGGGAGTGATAAACCCCTCACCGAAGGGCAGGAAGGGGGGTTGGAACAGGACGCGCTCTAAACCACTCACGCCCAGAGTGCTGGTGGGATTGTGCTTATGCTGCCACCTTTTCCTCCTGAGGACCTCCCAGGAGGTGCAGGCGAAGGAGGAGGGGGAGGGGGAGGAGGAGGAGGAGGAGGAGGAGGAGGGGAGGAGGAGGAGGAGGAGGAGGAGGAGGAGGAGGGAGGCGGAGGAGGAGGAGGAGGAGGAGGAGGCGGAGGAGGCGGAGGAGGAGGAGGAGGAGAGGAGGAGGAGGCGGAGGGCGGAGGCGGATGCGGAAGCGGAGGCGGAGGAGGAGGAGGAGGAGGAGGAGGAGGAGGAGGAGGAGGAGGAGGAGGAGGAGGAATAGTAATACTACTAATAATAATACTAATAATAATAATAATAATAATAATGATAATAACAATCATAATAATAATATTAATAATAGTAATACTAATAATAATACTACTATTAATAAGACTAATAATACTACTTATACTGATAAGAAGAATACGAATAATAAAAAAGAATAATACGAATAATAATAATACTAATAAGAATAATAATAAGAATACTAACAATAATATCAATAATAATAATACCAATAATATTAATACGAATACTAATAACAATAATAATAATCGTAATAATGATAATGATAATGATAATGATAATGATAATGTTAATACTAATAATAGAAATGATAATACTAATGATACTAATAATAATGATAATAATAATAATATTAATAATAGTAATAATACTGTTAATAATACTACTACTACTAATAATAATAATGATAATAATAATAATACTAATAATAATAGTAAGAAGAAGAATAAGAATAATAACAATAATAACACCAATAATAATAGGAAGAAGAAGAGGAGGAGGAGGAGGGTGAGGAGGAGGAGGAGGAGGAGGAGGGGGAGAGGAGGAGGAGGGGGAGGGGGAGGGGCGAGGCGGGAATGGGAGGAGGAGGAGGCGGAGGAGGAGGAGTGCAGGGACGGAGGAGGCGGAGGAGGAGGAGGCGAGAGGAGGAGGAGGAGGAGGAGAAAGAGAGGAGGCAGGAGGGAAAGCGGAGGAGAGGAGAAAGAGGAGGAGGAGACGGAGGAGGAGGAGGAGGAGGGGAGGAGGAGGAGGAAGGAGGAGGAGGAGGAAAAGAGGAGGAGGAGGCGGAGGAGGAGGAGGGGGAGGCAAGGACGTGGAGGAGGAGGAGGAGGAGGAGGAGGAGAGGGGAGGAGGAGGAGGAGGAGGAGGAGGAGGAGGAGGAGGAGGAGGAGGGTGAGGAGGAGGGGAGGAGGAGGAGAAAGAGGTGAATAATGAGGAGGAGGAGGAGGAGGACCTCCCAGGAGTTGCCTCCTAGACTGTCCGGCCCTCCTTAGTGCCCGTGGTGCCGCCACCCCGAGGGCGCTCCACGTGCGGGCGGGCGATCCAGACGAGCGCGCCGCAGGCCCAGACGTGCAATGCCATGCTCATTTCCAAGCGTCGACCCCCGGAGTGCTCTCGACCCAGTCGTCGGGATAGGCTGTTCGTCCTGAGTGGTCTTGTTGACGGTCCCCGGGGTCCAGGGGAGGCCCCCCAAGAGGCAGAGGTTCACGGCGCGAGGGTTCCCCGGAAGTTTTGGCCATCTCCCAAGGCCCCGCTTTTCATCCCGAGTCGTTTCTGACGGCGCTGCGTTGAAGGCACCCCAGGAAGCCGAAACCAATTAACAAACATCCGCCGCTCCAATAATTCGGAGCCCCGTATCTGTGGAGGAGGAGGAGGAGGAGGAGGAGGAGGAGGAGGAGGAGGAGGAGGAGGAGGAGGAGGAGGAGGAGGAGGAGGAGGGAGGGAGGAGGAGGGGAGGGAGGGAGGGGGGAGGGAGGGAGGGAGGGGGAGGGAGGGAGGGAGGCGGATGATGAGGAGGAGGAGGCCGGAGGAGGAGGCGGAGGACGAGGAGGAGGGGGAGGAGGAGGAGGAGGAGGAGGAGGAGGAGGGGGAGGCGGCGGGCGGTGGAGGTGGTGGTGGAGGCAGAGGCGGAGGCGGGGGAGGCGGAGGAGGCGGATGATGATGATGATGAGGAGGAGGAGGAGGAGGAGGAGGAGGAGGAGGAAGAGGAGGAGGAGGAGGAAGACGAATGGGAATGGGAAGGGAGGGATGAGGAAGAGGGAGGAGGGAAAAAGGGGAGGAGGAGGAGGAGGACGTGGAGGAGGGGAGGAGGAGGAGGAGGAGGAGGGAGGAGGAGGAAGGTGGCGGAGGCGAGTAGGAGTAGTAGGAGGAGGAGGAGAGGAGGAGGAGGAGGAGGAGGAGACGAATGGGATGAGGATGGGGAGAGGGATGAGAAGGGGAGGAGGAAAAGGAGGAGGGAGGAGGAGGAGAGGAGGAGGAGGAGGAGGAGGAGGTTGAGGAGGAGGAGGAGGGAGGAGGAAGAGGGAGAAGTAAAACTGAGGAGAGAGGGAGGAGGAGGATGAAGGAGGAAGAGGGATAAGAGAACATGGAGGAGGAATAGGGACGAGGAGCAGGCGGAGGAAGAGGAGGAGGAGGAGGAGGACCAGTGCAAACCCAAGACCCATCAACCATGTTGCAATACTTCCTCTCTCCAAGCTCCCTCTTCATGGATCCATATCCAGCTGCCTGCGGTCAACCCCGCCATTGTGAGTGTGCAACCCCGCCATTGGAGGAGGAGGAGGAGGAGGAGGAGGAGGAGGAGGAGGAGGAGGAGGAGGAGGTGAAAGGAGGAGGGGAGGAGGAGGAGGAGGAGGAGGAGGGAGGAGGAGGAGGAGGCGGAGGAGGAGGAGAGGTGAAGGAGGAGGAGGGAGGAGGAGGAGGAGGAGGAGGAGGAGGAGGAGGCGGAGTGTAGGGACAGCGCAATTCCAACGAGCAGTCCGCAGTGCGGCGGGTCGTGGTCCCGACCTTGCCTTCGTCCGCGCGGCAAGAGGAGGAGGCGGAGGAGGAGGAGGAGCAGGAGGAGAGGAGCAGGAGGAAGAGGAGGAGGGGGGAGGAGGAGGATGGGGGAGGAGGAGGGAGGGGGAGGAGGAGGGGGAGGGAGGATGGAGGAGGAGAGGAGGCGGAGGAGGAGGAGGAGGAGGAGGAGGAGGAGGAGGAGGGAGGAGGAGGAGGAGGAGGAGGTGAGGAGGAGGAGGAGGAGGAGGAGGAGGAGGAGGAGGAGTGAGGTGAAGGAGGAGGAGGAGGAGGAGGAGGAGGAGGGAGGAGGAGGAGGAGGAGAAGGAGGAGTGAGGTGAAGGAGGAGGAGGAGGAGGAGGAGGAGGAGGAGGAGGAGGAGGAGGAGGTGAAGAGTTAGGAGGCGCAGCGCGCCCCGCAGGCTCGGCGGGCGAGGAGTCTCGGCCGGGAGCCGTCGGCGCACGGGCGCACACGCCCCTGCGGCTCGGGCAGCTGGCGCCGATGCCAGCCGTGCTGCGCGCGGAGCCCACCGCCAGCCCCCCCGCGCCAGTGGGTGGCTCCGCCGTGCCGGTGGTACTCGAGGAAGCGACAAGACGTAACCCTGAGATCCTGCCGCTGCAACTTTTGCGCGCCAGGCGCTTTTGCTCCCTGTCCGGCCTCCTGGGCCCTCACAGATCGATCCGGCTCGAAAAATGACGCAGAAGTATTGGGTGCGGGGCTCCGATTTGTTTTTGCGAGGGTGCATTTTTGCCATGTTGGATCTCAGGGTAAGTGTGGCCCTTCGTCAGTGATGGGCCAACGACGACGACGACGGACGACGGACGACGGACGACGGACGACGACGAATGACGACGGACGACGGACGACGGACGAAGGACGACGGACGACGACGGACGGCGACGACGACGGACGACGGACGACCACGACGACGATCGACGGGCGACGACGACGACGACGACGACGACGGACGGACGGACGACGGACGACGACCATGACGACGACGGCGACGACGGACGACGGAAGGCGGACGACGACGACGACGAAGGACGACGGACGATGGACGACGGACGACGGACGACGGACGACGGACGACGGACGACGGACGACGAAGGGCGACGGATGACGGGCGACGGACGACAGACGACGGACGACGGACGACGGATGACGGACGACGGACGATGACGCCGACGGACGACGACGACGGAAAACGGACGACGGACGTTGGAAGACGACCACGACGAGGACGACGACGACGACGACTGACGACGACCGACAGACGGTGACGACGACGAAGGACGACGACGACGACGACGACGGACGACAGACGACGACGACGACGACGACGGACAACGGAAGACGACGATGACGACGGACGACGAACGACGGATGACGGACGACGGACGATGACGACGACGGACGACGACGACGGACGACGGACGAAGACGACGACGGACGACGGACGACGGACGATGATTATGGTCGGCGGACGACGGACGACGGACGACGACGACGACGACTGCGAAGGACGGCGGATGACGACGACGACGACGACGACGACGACGACGACGACGACGGACGACGGACGACGGACGAGGACAACGACGAAGACGACCGACGACGGACGACGACGACGACGACGGACGACGGACGACGGACGACGGACGACAGACGACGACGACGGACGACGGACGATGGACGACGGACGACGGACGACGGACGACGACGACGACGTCGACGGGCGACGACGACGACGGACGACGGACGACGGACGACGACGACGACGACGGACGACGACGATGCGACGACAACGGCGCCGGACGACGACGACGGACGACGGACGACGACGAGGACGGACGACAGACGACGGACGACGACGACGGACGACGGACGACGGACGACGGGGAACGCAGGACGACGGATGATTGGCGACGGACAACGGACGACGGACGACAGACTACGACGACGTCGACGGACGACGGACGACGGACGTTGACGACGACGACGAAGGACGACGGACGACGGACGACGGACGACGACGACGACGACGGACGACGAAGACGGACCACGGACGACGGACGACGAACGACAGACGACGACGACGGACGACGGGGACGGACGACGACGAACGACGACGACGACGACGGCGACGACGAGGACGGCGACGACGACGGATGACCACGACGACGACGACGGCGACGACGACGACGGACGACGGACGACGGACGACGACGACGCACGGCGGACGACGGACGACGGACGACGGACGACGGACGACGGACGACGGACGACGGACGACGACGACGGACGACGGACGACGACGACGACGGGCGACGGACGACGGACGACGGACGACGACGACGACGGACGACGGATGACGACGACGTCGACGACGGACGACGATTATGCGACGACGACGGACGACGGACGACGGACGACGGACGATGGACGATGGACGACGGGCGACGACGACGGACGACGGACGACGACGACGACGGATGACGACGACGGACGACGGACGACGGAAGACGACGGGGACTGACGACGGACGACGACGACGACGCACGACGGACGACGACGGACGACGAGGACGACGGACAACGACGATGCGACGGACGACGACGACGACAGACGACGACGACGAGGACGGACGACGGACGACGACGACTGACGACGGACGACGAGGACGACGGACGACGGACGACGGACGACGGACGACGGACGACGGGACGGACGACGGACGACGCACGGCGGACGACGGACGACGGACGACGGACGATGACGACGACGACGACGGACGACGGACGACGACGACGACGGCGACGGACGACGGACGACGGACGACGGACGACGACGACGGACGACGGGCGACGGACGACGGACGACGGACGACGACGGCGACGGCGACGGACGACGGACGGCGGACGACTACGACGGACGACGGACGACGGCCGACGGACGACAGACGACAGACGACAGACGACGACGACGGACGACTGACGACGGACGACGACGGACGACGATTATGCGACGACGACGCTGACGACGACGGACGACGACCATGCGACGACGACGACGACGACGACGACGGACGATGACGACGACGACGACGACGACGACGACGGATGACCACGACGACGACGACGGCGACGACGACGACGACGGAAGACGGACGACGGACGACGGACGACGGACGACGACGACGCACGGCGGCCGACGGACGACGGACGACGGACGACGGACGACGGGTGACGCAGGCCGACGGATGATTGGCGACGGACAACGGACGACGGACGACGGACGACGGACGACGACGACGGACGACCGGCGACGGACGACGGACGACGGACGACGGACGACGACGTCGACGACGGACGACGGATGACGACGACGTCGACGACGGACGACGATTATGCGACGACGACGGACCTCGGCGTCGACGACGACGAGGACGGACGACGGACGACGACGACGACGAGGACGGACGACGGGCCACGACGACGACGGACGACGACGACGACGGACGACGACAACGGACGACGAATTACGGACAATGGTGACGGACGACGGACGACGACGACGACGACGGTCGACGGACGACGACGACGACGGACGACGGACGACGACGACGACGGGGGCGACGGACAACGACGATGCGACGACGACGGACGACGACGACGAGGGCGGACGACGACGACGGACGACGGACGACGGCGACGGACGACGGACGACGGACGACGGACGACAGACGACGGACGCCGACGACGGCCGACGGACGCCCGACGTCAGCGACCGACGACGGACGACGGACGAAGGACGACGATGACGGACAACGGACGACGGACGACGACGACGGACGACAGACGACGACGACGACGGACGAGGGACCACGACGACGACGACGGACGACGGACGACGACGACGACGACGACGACGGACGACGACGATGCGACTACGACGACGACGGACGACGACGATGCGACGACGACGACTACGGATGACGACGATTCGACGACGACGACGACGACGGCGACGGACGACGGACGACCGACGACGGACGACGGATTACGGACGATGGTGACGGACGACGACGGACGAGGACGGACGACGCAGACGGACGAAGAGGACGGACGACGACGACGGACGACGGACGACGGACGACGGACGACGGACGACGACGAAGGACGACGGACGACGACGACGTCGACGACGGACGACGACTATGCGACGACGACGACGGACGACGACTATGCGACGACGAGGACGGACGACGACGACGGACGACGACCACACGCCGACGGGGTCGGCGGCCGCGTTGTGGAGCCTCCAGGTCTGGAGGAGCACCGGCGCGGCCAGCCCTGCCGCGGCCGTGGCCTGCATCGGGGGCAAAGATTGGACTCGTCGACCCCCGATCGCCCAGTGCTCGCCGAGAAGGGGCCCGGTGGCCCCAGCCCGCCCGAGAAGGTGCGGCTGCACCATCGGAGGTCTGTCGCCGATCCATCGGCGAGGTGTCGCCGATTCTAGGTCGATACCCAGACATGGGATGTCCTGACTTTTTTCAGGACGGCGTCCCTGGAAGTCCAGACCTTTTCCCCAGGACCGGCTTTTCATCCTGAATCGTTTTTTGATGCTCCCGAGGCCCTGCGAGGGCCCCCAGGGGCCGAAAATATAGAAGAACCTCCCGTCGTGATTTTTTCACGACGCGAGGGGGTCCGGGATCCCAGGTCGATGCCAGTCCCCCCCTGGGCCCGTCTCCCCCTATCGTTGCCCCTCAGGTCTGGAGGAGCCTGGGCGCCGCCACCCCGCCGGCCGTATAGGTGGCGCGCCGCAGGCGGGCCGGCGTTGGCAGAGCCGCAGGGGGAGGGCGGGGCGCACTGAGCCTGGGCGCTGCCGCTGCCTGGAGCCGTCGGGGTCGGGCGTTGCTGGAAGTGCACCTGGGGGGCGATGATGGTTAAGCAGTGGCGAAGCGTCCTGGCTCGCCTACAGCCCTACCAAGCAATGTTCTGAGAACCTTGTGTGGTTCCCACGAAGTGTTCTTAGAACACTTCTGGTTGACATTGTCTTGGCTTAACACATCGGGTTTCTGTTCTAAGAGCACTGTTGTTGTTCTTGGATCCTTTTTGGGGTTCTCATAACATTTCGTGGTAGGACTACAGGAATGCCGGCACGGTCGGTCCCTGCTCAAGATCGGGAGGCATACACCTTAGGCGATGCTTAAGAAAACTTGAGTTTTCGGTCAGAGTCTCGATTATTCTTAATGTTTCAATGTAAATCCCAGGATTTTGATAGAAGTTCTGGGTTTTTATTCAAATTCTGAGACTATGAATTTCTTAACCCATGATTTCTTAAGCATTTCGCAGGGTGTAGAGGTCCGAGGTGTCGAGGCTTGAGTCTAGAGGCTTGCGTAGGGTTTCGTCGGCTCTCGACGGTGCTCCAGCCGCGGGATGCTCTCCAGCAGGCGCGCCCTGCCGAGGGCTGCCCCCAGGATCCCTAAGGAGGCCCCCACGGCCTCCAGAGCATCCCTCGCGAGGCCCAGAGGAGGAGGAGGAGGAGGGGGAGGAGGAGGAGGAGGAGGAGGAGGAGGAGGAGGAGGAGGAGGAGGAGGAGGAGGGGGAGGAGGAGGAGGAGGAGGAGGGCCCAGAGGGCCCCAGGGGCTCCAGGACTGGTCGAAAGGCCGGGGGCACCTCGGGTCAGGGGCACCCTGAGCAGCCCCCGACTGGGGGTCCGAGGTGGCCTCGCACCAACTCCGGCCAGCAGGACGGACGGGCGGATTCCAGGTTCTGGATTCGGGCCGTGTTTTTTCCCGGAAAGGGCGCGGGCCCAGGGTTCTCTTTTAGTATGTAAACATGTCCCCGGTGCCCAACTTGAAGGAGGCCGGCGGATTCTTTCCCTGATAAATATCGAGGTCGAAGGAGGCCGGCGGATTAAAATTTGAGGATGTCTCAGGCGAAACGCTTGTTTTTGAAATCCCGATCGATAAATCACAGGGTGCGGGACACCTCAGCACGACCACACCCCCAGCATGACCACACCCCAGCACGACCACGCCCAGCACGACCACGCCCCAGCACGACCACACCCCAGCACGACCACACCCCAGCACGACCACACCCCAGCACGACCACACCCCAGCACGACCACACCCCAGCACCAGCACGACCACACCCCAGCACGACCCGATCGATAAATCACAGGGTGCGGACCACCCCAGCACGACCACACCCCAGCACGACCCCACCCCAGCACGACCACGCCCCAGCACGACCACGCCCCAGCACGACCACGCCCCAGCACGACCACGCCCCAGCACGACCACCCCCCAGCACGACCACCCCCAGCACGACCACCCCCCAGCACGACCACCCCCCAGCACGACCACACCCCAGCACGACCACTCCCCAGCACGACCACACCGCCTTGGTTGAGTGGTTGCCTGTCGTCGTGGAATGTTTCGTGGGGTGTCTCGTGGAATGTTTCGCGGGGTGTCTCGTGGAATGTTTCGTGAGGTGTCTCGTGGAATGTTTCGTGAGGTGTCTCGTGGGATGTTTCGTGAAGTGTCTCGTGGGATGTTTCGTGAGGTGTTGCCCAGTTGGGTATCGTGAAAACGTGTCCATGCTCCACATGTCTATATCCCTTTCCGGGTTCGTGGGTCCATCATGTTTTGTTGTTGTTTGTGTTGGTTCTGCGTCCGTGGGGCGCTTGCGGGGCCAAGGGCAGTAATAAACGGATCTTGGATGATAAACTGCACCAGATGGACCCTGGGAGGGGTCCAGGAACCGAATTGAAGTGGATTTGGCTTCATCCCCCTCCTGGATGATTTTCTGGGGTCCCAACCGGTTCAGACTCCACGACCGCCTCCTACGCCCAGTATCGTCTGTCCGATACCAATCGCCATTGGGCAATGGTATCTCTCGGATGCGAAGCTGGGGTGGAAGCGACAAGGGCGGGCTTTCTCAGAAGGCTCGGAAGGCCTCGGGCCTTATGACAAGTCTTCTCGGCCTTCCCCGAGGTCGCAGGAAGCTTCTCAGAAGGCCAGGGGGCTTCTGAGAAGCCCGCCTCCCAAGAAGGCCTTCTCCCTGTCTCACTCCCCCCCGGGCGCGCCGCCAAGCCTCGGCGCCGCCGCTCGGCATCGTCTGTCCAATGCCCACTGCCACCAGGCCATGGCATCTCAGTCCCACGAGGTATCGAGGACGTGAGAGCGGGATAAACATAAACTGTTGGAGCTCCGCGCAGAGCTCTACAGGTTATGTTCATACCGGCCAGGGATCGGTGGGGCATGGAGAGAGCGCCCACCGGACCGCTGCTTGTGGACGTCAGTTAGCTGCCCCGCTGTGGTGCTCTCGGAGTGCGATGCCGTGCGCACGTGGAGTGCCCCCTGCAGTTTTCATTTGAAGGCGCTTCGCCAAAAGCCGTTCTGTCCTGGCAGTTCCCGCGGAGCCCGAGGGGGACATCACACAGTCGGCCCGGATTAGCAGGTCGACTGTGCCAGCTCAAGGGTGCCCTTGTGGCCTGTGCCTCGCGACACGTGCCTTCTTACACTCCTATGGCGATGTGGCCCTCGGAAGGGTCTTGTGTCCTCTCGAGTGTCCTGTCCAATCAAGGCCGACTGTATGTCTCCACCCACGGGGGTGAGTGGGCCAGTGGGGCCGAGGTCATGCTGGTGCGAACAGGGATCGGTTGAACGGTGCTCAGTCGCAGGGCCCGCCGCCGATCACGCTGGCCATCCCGCGACGCGGGACACCGCAGCGGCATTCCCCAGGCGCCTCGTCGGGCGGGCCCACTCGGATCACCGTGGGAGTTGCGAACGGGATGCGGGCACTGGGGGTGGATGCTGCGGTGGGCTATGTCTGGCCTGGCCTTGCTGATGTGTGGGTTGCACGTGCGCTGGGTGGCTCAGGGGTGGTAAAGTTTAGGGGTCAAGCGGGCACCGCCCACTCAGATCAGAGCACTTGCAACCCACTCATATGCCAGGTCAGGCCCGAGAAGACCCACTCCCCTATCCACTTGCCCCCCCCACAGCGGTGATCCAAGCAGGACGCTGATAAGACGTTCCAGGGCGTTCCAGGACGCTCTCAGAGAGTTCTGGGGCGCTCTGGAACGGCCGCGGCGCCCGATCATCCTCGAGGACTGCTGGATCTCAGAGGGGTCCCCGATTTGTCCCTGTTCGAGTTTGTTCTCGCCTTGGGTTCGTCTTATCATGACGAGAGCTTGCTGTGTTCACAGGTGTACGGCCAGCTCGCTACGATGGTTTTCCTGGCGGTTTCCATCGTGCTGCATGCGTCAACATTAGGTTGTCGCCGTGCTGCCCGCGTGCACCATTCTCGCAGCCGTTCCAAACAATGCTTGCGCGTGGTGCCAGGGAAAACAACCAAACAGCGACTCCGTGCAGTTCTACGCGACCCTGTCGCGTCGAACTTTGAACATATACCGTGTTGGGCCCTGCAGCCAAGACGCTGAACTACGGGCCACTGCGGGCTCGGGAGAGGCTCCGGTTTTTCGAGCCGCTCCTTAGGTCCAGGTCTCAGGGGCAACGTTAGGGCAATCGACCCCCCGTCGCCCATGGATCGCTGACAGGGGCCCGATAGCCCGCCCCGCTCAGGACAGTGCGGACCGATCTATCGGCGTTGCATCGCCGATTCCAGGTCGATGTCTCCCTGAGCCGATCCCCCCCCCCCCGAACGTGCCCCCTCGAGGTCGGGGGACCCCCTCGTGGCCGAGGCCCGTCGTGGCCAACACGTTGCCTCGGATCCTCATGCTGGGCTCCTCCTGACAGCACGACGGCGGTATAGTTCGGCGCCCTGTGTTCTGGAGGCCCTGCCGTGCGGGACCGGGGCCCTGTGAGGCGGAACCCTGTCGTGCGGGGCCCGCCCGGTGTGGAGCTCTGGCGGTGCGGTGCCGCGGCGGGGTCCTCCCAGCGGCAGCGGGGAGAGGCCCACCGAGAGCGGACGAAGATCCCGCCACGGGCGGGGCGTTCCACGGAGGGCCTCGCCTTGGAGGGGTCGAGGGAGTGGGCCTCGTTTTCGGCGGAAGGCGGCGGAGGGCTGGCGGAAGGAAGGCGGCGGCGGGTCCGCTGGAGGAAGCCGGCGAAGCTCGGCGAGCAGCGGCGGAAGCGAAGCCGGGCAGCCCCCCCCCCTCCAAAAGGATGTCATCGTTCTGGGGTTCAGGATTTTTTCAGAGTCGGCCACATGGGGGCAAGTCATTAAAAAGCGTGTCATCATCTCTCTGTGCAGGCTCTGTCTGGTTAAAGCGTTCGAACACCTCCTAACTTCCTCCGCGAGCTTGAATGGTTCTCTTGTTCCTTCGAACTGTAACGTCCGTCATGAGGGTCCGCCCCCCCTCCTCCCCCCTGTTGCTGTAGCGATCGCGCGGATGCGGACCCGTTCCCCCCCCGCGCTCACAAGCATGTGGTGGCGCTCGCATGATCTTGTGGTGGTCACGCGTACCTTCGGTGTTTCTCAGGCATGCTGTGGCGCTCGCGGGCCTCTGGGGTGTTCACATGCATACGGTTGCGCTCGCATGCACACTGCGGTGCTCACAAGCATGTGGTGGCTTTTGAAGCTTATTGCGGTGCTCGCCGCATGCTCGCTGCCTGCGTTTACAGACATATTGGAGCTATCGCAGGGGAATTGTGGCCCTGGTAGGGTCCGGCAGGCTGTTGCTCATCCATGGCGTGCGCAAGCTGTTGTGGTATTGGCGCTGTCCCGCTTCCCTCGCTGTCTGGCGGTGCAGGCGCAGTGCTTCGTTCACAGGCACGCCGCGGTGCTCGCTGGCCGTTCGCGTGCTCACAGAGGACAAGCAAAAACGATTAGAGGAGGAGGGAAGGCGCTCGGGGTTCGCGGCCGCCTGTCGGGTCGTCGTGACGGTGTTCATCTTCGTCGTGTCTTTGGCGGCGGTCAGAGGGAGTGGGCGGGTGTGCGCGTGTGCGCGGGCGCCAGGACTTGTCTGTGGCTTGCAGGAGGGCGGGAGGGAACCGGAAGGTTTTCGCAGGCTGGTGTATGCTGGCTGCGGAGTGTGCTGTGCGCGGAGGCGTGGCGCTCATGCATGGGCACGTTGCGGTGTTCGCAGGTTCCCGTGGTGTTCGCGGGCAGATTGCGGCGTTCGCAGGCTTTTGTGCTACTGGCAGGGTCCAGAATTCTGTTGTGGATAAGTTTCAGAGGAGGAATAGGTACCGATACCGCTGCCTTTCCTTGGTTTTCGCCTTTCTGTGCTTCCCTGGACAGCCCTCGTCGCCACGGCTTGACTTGTTTCGACATTCTGGTCGGAGGTTACCCCGGGAGACAGGTCCTGGAATTCGTCGGTTTCCCAAATTTCGTCTGTTGTTTTTGTGCGCCACCGCGCTGGGGCGTTGTGGTGGCCGCAGGTTTTCCTGGTGTCAAACGGACTGGTGCGGAACCCTCAGACTACCGTGTTGATGACGAGGGTCTGGCATGATTACTGCTGTGCGTACCCCGGTATGAGACGTCACAGACGATTGCCACTTGCGCGAACAATCACGACAAGAACGCTTACCCCCCCCAAACAAACAAAACATATAACACATAAACAAAACACATGTTTTTTGTTTCCGAGTTTTTTCTGTTTTCTCTTTGGGGCATGTCTCGGGCTTGGTCGATCCTCGGGGGCCCTTTGGGCCCGAATCCGGGCGGAGCCGCCCCGTGTGACAAGTCTGCGGCGCCGGGTTGTCCACGTCATTTCGTGTGTCGCTGCTGGCTGCCGCCCACCGCACTCTGGCCCTGCGCGCCTGGCTGCTGCTGCCCGCCCAACTGCCCATCGTCGAACTCTTCGGCGTCGGAGCGTCCCTTCTTCCTCTCGGCCGCCCCCCTTCCCTCTTTGCTCGCCGGCCGATTCGCTAGTTGGTGCCCCTATCTAGCTTCTCGCTGGAGCGGATTTCGCCGCCTCGCCGCTGACGAGAAAGATGTGTCGCTGCTGGTTCCCGCTCCGGCATTGCATGGTGGCACGCTTCGCCGCCGACGCAAACATGTATCGCTCTTGGTGTTCCCGGGCACCGTGCCAGCCTTAGGGGGCCACATGCGAACCCGACCCCTGCCCCCCCACGACTTCTGAGGGGGAGGGTCGGGGTCCACGTCTTTCGGGAGCTCCCGAGCGAAGTGAGCCTCGCCCTCCCCCTCGGGGATAGCGCGGGAGGGGTCGTCGGGATTGCACGAGGCCCTCTGAGAGCTTGTCTCTCGCCCAGCCCGGCCCGCGGGCGGGGGCCCAGGCCGTGCGCAGCGTGTTGGCCCCGAAGCTGCCCAGGCCCGAGATGCGTGTGCCGGACGTCTCGCTCGACCAGGTCGCCGGCATCGGGTCGGCCAAGGCGGCGCAGCGGCGTTGGGACCACGACTCTCGGGAATTACGACGGGCATGGTTACGGAACAAGTGGGGACGAAGGACAAAGGCCGGTCCTGTCCCTTTTGAACCAGATTCGTTGTCAGTGTCACCGCGGGCACCCTCCATTTGAGATACAATTTCGCCAGCCCCACGGCGGCCGTTGGCGGTTTCGGGCAGCATTTGCTTTTGGGCATTGTGAACTTGTTTTCCGCACCTGACACGAGCGTGTTCAGATTCGGCTGGATTCAAGAATGGCCATTCGGATGCATGCTTGCTGGTTCGAAGAGATCTCTTGGATCGGTGCTGGATTCTCCTGGCGTCGCCTTGGGCGCTGCCCCTGGCGAACTCCGCGCGCCAAGGAGGGGGGCCAGTGCCGATTTGTGAAATCTGTAAGTGTGGGCCTCCGAAAGTCCATGCTTATTCATACCTTTCCTTCGGCATCGCTCGGACGTGTGCAGTTGTTTCGGCGAGGACCATCGAGGAACAGCTCGGATCATCTTGCGAAAGCAACACGCGCGACCCCGACAAACGCACGGGGAATGGACGTCCGAGCGATGGCGAGTTTTTCTTGTATCGGCGCGTGCCCACAGGTCCCCCAGGCATTGGCTCGCGCGCCTGGGTCTGGAACCCCCGCGGTCCTCCAAAGGCGCGCGCCAGAGGTCAATCTTACCTAGTGTCACCCCTGCGTGTAGCCGAACCACGCCGATGCTATGACGACGACGGTTGCGGCGACGACGTCGTCGTTGGCGTCGGCGTCCTCCTCGTCCTGTCTCTCTCCCCCTCCTCACCTCCGCCTTCTTCTCGCCCTTCTCCCCCTCCTCCCCTGCTCCCCCTCCTGCTGCTCCTCCGGACGGGGGCAAATTGCAAGGATGAGGAGGGGGAGGAGGAACACTTGGATTTGAAGTTGGAGAGTGTGGAGGAGGAGGGGTTGGAGAAGGAACGGGTGGATGAAGAGAAGGAGGAGGCGGAGGAGAAGGCCGAGGAGGACGAGGAGGAGGAGGAGGAGGAGGAGGAGGAGGAGGAGGAAGAGGAGGAGGAGGAGGAGGAGGAGGAGGAGGAGGAGGAGGAGGAGGGAGGAGGAATGAGTGGACGAGGAGGATGCGGACACCGAACATGATGATGCGGAAACCGAGCCGAGGCATCGAGGGGCTCTGGGATCCCCTCCCCGGGCCCCGGCTGCTCACCCCGTGCAGTTCTCGACGCTTCCGCGGCGGAGGCGGCCCGCACGGGCAGAATGGCTGCGCCACGCGCTGGCCGCCACCGTGCTGGGGAGCGCCGCCCTCCTCCCGCCCGAGCGCCGGCGCAGGCGGAGGCCCTGGAGATCGTGGAGTGCCTCATGGCGCCCGCGAGGCGGCACGCCCTCGTGGCCCGGCCTGCGCGCTCGGGCGCGCCTCCCGGTCGCTTCTCCTCGTTGTCGCCTTGCCCCCTGGCGGGAAATCATCGGCCAGGTGCCAGTGTAGTAGGGGAACAAAAAGTGACGTAAGCCTAAAAGCTCCGAGGTCCGCGCGGATTTCTCGGATCGGCGCTGGGGCCCCCCGGCGGCGCCTCCGGCGCCGCCTCTGGCGCGCTCCGCGCGCCAGGGAGGGGGGTCCAGCGCCGATCCGAGAATTCCGCGCGGACCTCCGAGTTTTTATGCTTATGCCACTTTTTGTTTTCCTAAGTAGGGGGCCACATGCGAGCCCTGCCCCTACCCCCCACGATCTTCTGAGGAGGAGGGTGGCTTTCACCTGTGGTCCCCTGATCAGCCGAATCACCTCCTCTCCAGTTCCTCTGTTGCTTTGTGTTATGCTGTGCTCTCCCTTTGCCGTTTTCCCTTTCCCTGCCTTCTGTTTGTCTCCGTCCTCGTCGCCTCCCCTTTTCCCCCGCCCCTTTCCAGTGAAAGCATCCCCTTTCGTTGTCCCTGCTTCTACCCCTTCACATCCCATTTTTCTTCGCCCTCCCTCCCTACTGTTTGCCGTCCCAACCATCATGTGAGTTGGGGTCTTGATTTGAACCAGCATCTCGCGCATCTCACTCCTCCTTTTATCCTCCTCCCCCTCTTTCCTCTGCTCTTCGACTGTCCATGCCGTTGCATCCCTCTCGCGTTTCATGGCCCCACAAGAGCTCCGCTTACGGTCTCAGAGGGCGCGATCGCTTTGCGGCGTCGCCCCCACCTTTGGCAGACCCCTCGCATGTTTCGCCTCCCCATCGGAAGCTCTACATACGGTCTCAGTGGTGAGTGCGACTGCATGGCGGTGCCTCCTCCATTCCAGCATACCTCTCACACGCCTCAGCAAGACAGCGCCCAGAGGCCCCGAAGAAGCTCCCAGAAGCCCTCGCCAATACCTCAAAGGGCCTCGATGAGACCAATCAGAACATGCAACAGGTCTCATGAAAGTCATCTCACTGGACCGCTCCAAGACCAGAGGCAAGGTAAACCTACAGTTGATCCAATCTCTGTCCTTTCGGAGAGGTTATGGAGTACGCATGCGCTGCAGGATGATGCCAGGGCATCGGGTGAGCGAGGGATGGAGTGACGGGCAGTCGAGGGAGGAGGACGAGCAGCAGCAGCAGCCGCAGCAGCAGCAGCAGCAGCAGCAGCAGGGAGAGGAGATTGGGGATGAGCTTGGCCCACGTGATTCTCCGCTGCGTAATTCTCTACGTATTCGTTTGGATGGTGACGGCAATTGTCTGCCGCATGCCCCCAACGCGTGGGGTTTACTTCGAAACGGAGCGCGCGCTGAGCGTTCGCGAATGTTTCTGGTATGATGCACACACGTGTATATTTAACACATCTATACACAGATGTGTCGGCCAGAGTGGACCCCGAACCGCGATCTCGTGTAATCTATGTCGTGCAATCTAGGTGGCGCAATCAATGTGGTGCGATCTAGGTGGTGCAGTCCATGTGGTACAATCTGTGTGCTGCAGTGCAGTGCGAAGCTATGCAGCGCAGTGCAAAGCAACGCACAGCTATGCAACGTAGTGCAAAGCAAGGCGGAGCCTGCGATGCGAACGGTGGAGGTGCAACGGAGGGGCGGGACGGTGCAGCGGGGCGGCGGCAACAGACAGGAACGGGCCGTCGAGCCAACAGACGGGCTCGGTTCCTTGGACGGCAAGTGCGACCCCCTAAGTGCAAGCACGGTTACGTATGTGTGTACGCTCATGTTTACACATGTGTAATATAAATGTGAACATTCATATGTGTGTATACGTATATATATATATATGTATATGATGGGTGCAACGCTTGTTGCATAGCCTACTCGTTATACGTCATGCAACATCTGCAGCGCAATGTATTAATCGAAGACGCCCACCGCGAGTCACCGCCGAACCCTGCCTTTCGGAAACGCCTGCGTCGCGAAGTGTCGCGCGAACGTGCGGCCACGCGAAAGTGGGCCGCCGTGGACTGACGGATGCCAGCAACATGTGGGAATGCGAGCATAGTTTGAACACATGCGCAACATCAGTGACAGTGGCCTCTTCGGAGGCACCAGGGGTCCTTTTGAGTCCCCATTGGGCCGTCTTTGGGGCCATCTTAGGGCCATCTTTGGCCGTCTTGGGGCCACCTGGGACCGTTCTGGAGGCATCCTCGGCCATCTTGGCGGCCTTGGTGGCCTGGCTGGGCCGTCCTGGAAGCCATCTGGGGCATCTTCGACGGACTGGAGAGGGCGCGGGAGGCGGCGGAGCGTCCAGGAGCCCTCGGGAGGGGAGGGAGGTGCAGAAGCCTTAAAGTCAAGGTTGACCAGTAGGTCGACCCTGCCAAGTCAAGGGTACCCCTGGGTGTCCTCTCGTGTGTCCTCTCCAGTCAACCCCAACTGTATGGGGCAGCGCTTGCCAGTCCAGCACGCCCCAACGTGGCATGGGGGCGCTGGTGGCGTACTTGTTGTGTAAGATGATGCCCACTTGATGCGGCAGCGTTTGGGGCAAAATAATGGAACACATTCACATATCACCCCTTTTCTCGGCGGCGCGCCCACAGGGGGAGGGCAGAGTGGCTGGCAATCTCGGAAGGCTCAAAAGGATCCTTGCCTTGGCGGAACCTTCGGAACCTTCTCCGAAGACTGAGCTTTGGTGGAACTTTCTGAACCTTGGCGGAATTGTCTGAACTTTCTGAACCTTCTCCGAAGGTCGGAGGGCTTCTGAGGAGCCCCCGACGCCTTTGAGAAAGCCTGACCCCTCTCTCGTAGTTAGGCGATGTTTTTCTTCCCGATCACCGAGTTCCGTTCGAGAAGTCAGGCCGCCCAGGAAAAAGGGGGGGAGCCCTGGGATACACTCCAGAATCAAGCAGTGGCGAAGCGTCTTGGCTCGCCTATCCCCACCAAGCAATGTTCTAATAACCTTTTGTGGTTCCCACGAAATGTTCTTAGAACATTTCTGGCAGAGTCTGTCTTGGTTTACCGCATCGGGTTTATTTTCTAAGAGCATCGGCTTTGTTCTAAAAGCATGTCTTGGTAGGACTGTAGTAGGAATGCTGGGACGGTCGGCCCCTGCTCAACGGAAGGGGGGCCCATTCGGACGCACCCAACATCGAGAACGGACGCCCCGCCCCTCCCTCGCATATCCTACCCCCCGGGGGGCTGGGAGAGACATCCCCGGTCCGCTCGAGCGCCCCACGAAACCTGGGGGAGGGGTCGACACACCTTGAATCGGGTATCGCCAGGACCCCAGGTAAGGGGACCCGGTTAGCGGTAGGGCCTCCGAGCCCCTAGATTGGCCAGAGTCACTAAACCAGGTCCGCCGAGCTCGTGTTTTTTCGGGTGACGGCAGTTCCGGTTAGTGGAACGGGGCGGGGGGGCGTCCCCCAGTACACATCACTAAACCAGGTCCCATTAAACCCAGTTCTGCCAACGCCCGACTTAAGTCGGGCCTGTCCCTCTAGAGGAGGAATCTTCAAAACTAGTTCAAACATAGTACGGGGATGAGTTTTTGTTTTTGTTGGGTATTGTTTGAAAATGTTTGGAATGCTTGTCATTTGTCGCCCATAATCCCCCTGTAGGGGGACAGGCCCGACCTAAACATACCCCCCGCTTGCCACCGACGCGTGGCGGATTCCAGAATTCCAAGGCGGGAATTTATACATGACCACCGCCTGGCGGGTCATGGATATGGACATACTCGGGCCCCGGGGGCCGAAATATATCCATGCCCGCCGCCCGCTGGGGCACCAGGACGTCGGTTCCCAGGCGGTGGACATGGATACATCCCCGACTCGCACAGACGCCCTGCACCCAAAACGTTTCCGCCGCTCGAGGGCGTCTCTTCTGCGTCCGCCGCCCTCCGCCGGCCGCGGCGGCCTCGCTTGTTTTGGTTGCTCCCGCGGGCGCCCGCCGCCCCTCCGCCGCCCTCCTTGTGCCGCGGAGGCGACGGCGACTGCTTCGATCCTCGGCGGCGAGGCCCCTTCTGGAGCATCGGCCCTTCCCCGTCTTGGTGATCTTTTTTTGTGTTCGGTGTTTTGCCGATCGGCGCGGGGCCCTCGCTCGCCCCCCCGCTCTCCCCCCGCACCCCCAGGGAGCAGGCCCTTACTGATTGGGGCGCCTCAGGCAGGCGGAGTCTCCCCCGTAGGACCCGCTGTCGCCCACAGTCGCATTCAGCAGGAGGTCCCCACCTCTTCCGCCCAGTGCCGAAGCGCCGAGTAATCGGAGGTTGACAGACCTCCTACCCTGACACGTCGAGTAGTGGATTGGCCGTTTTCGGTTCGCGAGAGGGCGTCGCGGCCGTTATTCTTGCGGGTTCCGGTCCGTCGGTTTCGGTGTTGGGCCGTTTTCACTAAAGGGTGGTTTACAAAAGGGAGGTTTGCCCACTGCAAAAATAAGAGAACTGTGACTTTCTCCTCTCCTCTCTGCCGCCTGCCCTAAGAGAGCCAGCGTTGGGGCAGGGCCGGCGCAGGGTTAGGTAGGGCATGTCCCTCTACAATGGAAATGTTCAAACATAGAATAATTAGCGTGACGAAAGACCCAACCATAAGCAGTTGTGGATACCGCGTTCAGGGTCCATCGTTCGACGGGCCTCCCTACGGGGCCACGAAACGTGTGAGGGGTGTGCCGAAATTGGCGGGGAACCGCATGCGGACCCTGCTACTTGGGCCTTGGGTGGAGCTCCGTATGGGGCCACGAAACGTGTGAGGGGTGTGCCGAAATGGGCGGGGAACCGCATGCGGACCCTGCCACTGGGGCCTTCGGTGGAGCTCCCTTTGGGACCACGAAACGTGTGAGGGGTGTGCCGAATTGGGTGTGCGGGACGCATGCGGGCGGCGGCACTGGGGCCTTCGGTGGCCGAAGTGGGTGTGCGGGACGCATGCGGGCGGCGGCACTGGGGCCTTCGGTGGAGCTCCCTATGGGGCCACGAAGCGTGTGAGAGGTGTGTCGAATTGGGTGTGTGGGACGCATGCGGGCGGCGGCACTTGGGCCTTCGGTGGAGCTCCCGATGTGGCCACGAAACGTGTGAGGGGTGTGCCGAATTGGTTGTGCGGGACACATGTGGGCGGCGGCATTGGGGCCTTCGGTGGAGCTTCCTATGGGGTCGCGAAGCGTGTGAGGGGTGTGCCGAATTGGGCGTGCGGGACGCATGCGGGCGGCGGCACTGGGGCCTTCGGTGGAGCTCCCTATGGGGCCACGAAACGTGTGAGGGGTGTCGCCGAATTGGGTGTGCGGGACGCATGCGGGCGGCGGCACTGGGGTTTTCGGTGGAGCTCCCTATGGGGCCGCGAAACGTGTGAGGGGCGTGCCGAAGCTGATGACGATGATGGTTTCGATGGTTTCGATGATGGCGATGATGATGGTGATGAGGATGATAGTGACGATGATGATGGTGATGACGATGATGAGGAGGACGACGATCATGGTGACGGTGATGATGATGATGATGATGCTGATGATGATGATGATGATGCTGATGATGATGATGATGATGATGATGATGATGATGACGATGATGATGATGATGATGATGCTGTTGAGGATGATGAGGAGGATGATGATGAGGATGAGGATGATGATGATGCTGATGCTGATGCTGATGCGGATGGTGATGATGATGTTGAAGATGCTGCTGATGATGGTGATGATGCTGATGATGATGACGATGATGACGATGATGGCGATGCTGATGGTGGGGGGAGGAGGGGGAGGAGGAGGGGAGGAGGGAGGACCCGGGGCGCCGTCTCTTCAAGACGAGGACCCAACCCCACAGGATGGCTGGGAAGAATCAGGGGACTCTTTTTTTGGGGGTAGTTCGGAATCTGTTTTTTAGCATGTTTGGGCTACCTGTTGATGCTTCGTCCAACATCTGCTTGTGGGGGACGCGCCCGACCCAAGAGCAGGGGTCCCTCCCGTCGACCTCCCTCCATCTGGAGGGGCGGCGGGCGCATCTCCAGGACGCCTCTCCTTCCAGGGCCCGCCTGCCCCATCCTGTCCTCCTCTTCCGCCCCCCCCCCTCTCCCTTTCCCCCCCTCCACCCCCCATTTCCCCCCTTCTTCCCTCCCCCCCTTCTTCCCTCCCCTCTGCCCCCTTCCGCTCCCCTCTGCCTCCCTCTTCCCCTAGTCTTTCCGCCTCTGCTCCCCCCCGCCTTCTACCTACTCTTCCCCTCTTCCCCCTCTTCCCCGCCCCTCTTCCCCCCTCCCCTCCCTCGCCTCTTCCTTCCCCTCCTCCCCAGCCCGCCCGAGGTTCATGGGCCTCGGCGCTATATGCCCGAAGGGCCTCCTCCTGACAGGAAGGGCTGGGTGCCCCTTGCGGGCGGCCGCGGGAGGGTCAAGGAGAAGGAGGAGGAGAAGGACGAGAAGGAGGAGGAGGAGGAGGAGGAGGAGGAGGAGGAGGAGGAGGAGGTGGAGGAGGAGGAGGAGGAGGAGGAGGAGGAGGAGGAGGAGGAGGCGGATGATCGAGGAGGGAGGGGGGCACGGGAGCGGCGGCGGAGGTCAGTGCAGCATGGGCAGCGGCGCCACCTCGCTGCCCCAGCCTGCTCCGAGGGGGGGCCCGGCTGCGGCCCGCGCGCTTCTCGGCCCCGTGCCCGCTGGGCCTCCCGGAGTATGTCAGGAGGGAAAAAAAAACACAGACACAATTAATCGTCGACTCCCAGGAAAATATGGGAAAATATGGGAATTGGGGGGGAAGACAAAAGCCCAGAAAATATGGGAAAATATGGGGGATCCTTTTATTTGTGTGTATTTATTTGTGTGTCCCAGTTTCCCTTCAGTATGGGGCGTTTCGGGCGGGGCTGGCTCGACCTGGCCGGCACAGTCAACCCGCACAGTAAGGATGAGCAACTTTCCAAGGATACCCTCGTATCCTTCCCCGTCGGCCCATCCTCCGGGGGCCACATGCGAACCCTACCCCTACCCCCCACGATTTCTGAGGGGGAGGGTGGGGTTCACTTCGCTTGAGAGCTCCCGAACGAAGTGAACCCCACCCTCCTCCTCAGACATCGTGGGGGGTAGGGGTAGGGTTCGCATGTGGCCCCCTAATCCTGGTTGCCGAAGGTGCCCCTGGCCCAAGGCCCCACCCAGCTTTTCGCCCAGTTTTGGACCCCCTGGGGCCGTCTGGGCCTCGTGAGGGGTGCACTGGAGGCTGGGGGGGGGCCTCCTTGGAGATCCTGGAGGTACCCTGGGTCAGGGGCACTTCTAGCAACGCCCGACCTTGGCTGCTCTCGCTGACCGCGCCCCGCTCTCAAAGTGGCGACATGGCCTTCCAAGGCCCTTGCAACCTTAGCGTGCGTCTTTATTATACGGGTTGAGTGTACGTAAGTACGTCGCAGGTGCCCTGAGTGGCGTGGGGGTGGTAGAGATTCGGGCTAAGTGGGCACCGCGCACTCAGAGTAGGGCACGTGTAACCCGCTTACAAGCCAGGTTAGGTCAGGTATGACCCACCTTGACATCCGCTAAGAGGTCCCCTATCCACTTGGCAACCCCCGCGGTGGTCCAAGCAGGAGCAGGATCAATCGTTCCAGAGTGACCTGGAGCGCTCTCACAGCATTCTGGAGCGCTCTGGAAGCGATACATCCTCCAGAACCGTCCGATCTCAGAGATCCCCGATTCGTCCTGGTCCGAGTCTTTTCGGGTCCTTGCTTCGTCTCACACGGGGCGTTCCAGAGAAAGGCTTCGCCTTGGTGAGATCGAGGAGTTTGCATATCTTAATCGGCGTGCGGCTGGCGGACGCTGGCGGGAGTAAAACGGGAGCGGCCCCGGCCCGGCGGAAGTCGGCGGAAGTAGGCACTGACCCTCCAGTAGAAGCGTTGGTGCTGGTTGGAAGCCGGGCTTCCTGTATGAGGCACAGACGGTTGGAATTTTTGGGAAAGCGTGTCGCTCCGCCGGTTCTGGCCCACCACACTTCGGCGCGACATGGTACCCACTTCCCGGTCCCCCAGGCGTCTACGTCCCGAGCCTTTCCCAGTCTCCCTCAACGCGGAGCGGAGCGACACGCTACCTGCTTGCAGGGCGAAGCGTGTCGCCGGGGCCGCTGCCGCGACACGCTAAGCAAC